AACTGTAGATACCCAAAACGGTAATCCAACTATATTCGAGTCCAAGCAAGTGCAAAGGAAAAAGAGAAAATGACACGCCAAAAGCTATATATTCGAGTGTATCGAGCCCGGTCGCAGTGGTGTGACTCACCGCCAGAATGGTTGCACCGTATGCCGCTTACATGAATGCAATCATACCCATGACGAGTGCCATCATGCCACCGGAGATCCGGTTGATGACACCTCCATTGGCGTTGGGGACCGAAGTAGGCGAGGTAGTGGCGGAGCTCGTGTGAGAAGCCCGGGTGGTAGTCGAAGATTCAGTGGTAGACGAGCTGCTGGTGGTCGAAGAGCTGCTGGAGGGAGAAGCAGTGGTCGAAGTCACAGTGGTCATGGAAGGAGTTCCGCTAGTAGTGGTCGAGGTAGACGTGGTAGAGGCGGTCTTAGTGGTAGTGGCAGTAGCCGTGGAGCTCGACACGACACCAGTAGCTCCTGAAACTGTGAAACGGTTCAAGTAGTTGGTTTCGGAGGGGTCATCATCGGAAATGATCTCAACGGTGTAATCAGGCCGAGCAGCAATGTCAGAAGGGACATTCCAGGTGTAGCTTCCGGAATTGGGAATGCTTGCTAGGGTACGTTAGCAGATGCGCAGAGCTCCAGACTAGTTTCAATCCGAATCACTTACAGACAATGGTTGAGCCAGAGCCAGCAGTGAAAGTGGTGCCCCATTGAAGCTTAAGAGTGACAGTTCCAGCGGTGGTAGGATCCCAGGACAGAGAAGTGGGTTTACCAGCAGCGAATTGGTAACCATTGGCAGGGATGTTGAAAGGATTCTCCTTGGAAGCTGCAGCTGCGATGGCCGCGAGAGCGCTGAGAGACAGGAAGATGATGGAACGCATGTTGACCAAGGTATAGACTTTTGTTGACGCTATTAAATATAGACTCCCGAAAAGAGGTAGCAAAGCGGGGGATAAGATAAAGTATTCCAGAAGATTGTAACGAAGGGATTCTGAATTAGAGTATATGGTATTCAATGAAAGGAATGGACTCTGACTGGGGGGTTAAAGACAGACAGAAAGATGAGTATGATGCAACGATCGACTGGAGGGAGTAAGGAGAGAAAAAGGGAAGAAAGAGGAGGAGAGGGCGAGAAGGGGAAATAGGAGCGAGCAATAATAACCGGAAGAGCTAGGCTAAGAGAAGCCTACCTAACCTTCCGCTACACCCAAGGATCCTGGTCCAACTCCTCTCGTTTGGGGGGAACCTGGGTAAGGATTGAGATTTCGCGCCAGTAGTTAGATGGCGAGGAAGCCACGAGCCAGTCATCCTCGAGGAAGAGCCAATAGGACGGTCTAATCAACCATAAGTTCACAGCCCTCCGAACGGAAGAGGCAAAAACAGAATAAACAGAATAAATGGGCAATAACGCCATTGAGGAGGCTAATCCCAGCCAGACTTAGTCCCTCCTTCTCTAGGAAAAGGCGTTTGTCCAGCTAGACCAAGTCAGTCGTAGTCATTCGCTTAGCCAAATCAGAAAGGTCAAGAAGGCTCCAATAATCTTGACGAAGCCCGGTCGGGGCCCCAGCTAGTTGACGCTAAGGTCGCAAAGACTAGACTAAGGTAAAGAAGATAATGAAGATAAAGCTAGATGCCTAACAGTGGCAATGAGCCATGGGTCTATTAACGGGTCTTTGGGAAAGCGGAGGAACTGAGTTTGATATGGAGAGGTGTGTTGCTAAGAATAATCATACCCTAACCTCCGATTCACCGAAGATGAGTGTGAATTATGATTGTTTAGCTCTGGTTATCCTGTACGAGATACCTAGCACCTGAAAACCAGAACCCTTGAGTGATCTTCTACTTCTTGATTCCTGGGCTGATTTTAAATGTAGCATGGAAAAATATACGAAAATATTTTCTTTACAGCATCTAGATACATGCTCATTACGCAGGTAACCTTGTGCGACCAAAGGTGTCTAACTAAATGATCATCGCGCCATAAGTTATGGTCTCTAAATAGAAGTACCAGGCTAAGGTACCTTACGGTACAGATGTAAAGCCTTTCCGTATTATGATTTTCAATACGACTGCCAAACAGAGACAGTCGCGAAATAAGGTAGTGAGGATGCGTCCATGAGGCATACCTCCGAGAGGGAATATTTTAGGAACTAGGAATAGTCCAATAGACTTGGCTTTGGTCGACTTTCAGGTCTTGCGTCCTTCGCTGCGACCGTCTTACAGCCCAGGCTGAAAGACAGGGCTCAATTTGGTTCTGAAGCTAATACGTATGCGGATTATATGTACATGGCGCCGATGTTATATAGTAACATGTCTTTTCAGCACCTAGACAGCAGTAACTGTGTGTTTCGTCTCCTGAGGGTCCTGGTTCTTATCTTTGTTCCCATCGGTATGAGAGTGTCCAGTCGCCCTTTCCTCGGCCTCTGGGGCATCGAGTAATCCGTTCTCTCCCAGCCATTCAATCACTTCCATCGCTCTCCGACTCTCGTCCTCTTTCTGGCGTTCGATCAGCTAGTAATTTGCGCGTTAGCGTTTGAATAGGCGAAAGAAGGCCCTTTTCCTTCTTTGCTAAAGTCCGAGGATACTTACGGCTTGGAAGAGTCCCCTCCGTCCTTTGTTCTCTATCGGTTTTGCTTTGGCGCCTCGTTCAGGCAACTCATGTAGAAAATGGCATTTCTCCCCGTGCAAGCAGCGCCCATTGCGGGCGAAATGGCGACAAACTTTCTTCTTATTCACTCGAGGCGGTGGTGCTACCCGCGCCGGCCCCTCACGGCGAGAAGACACTTCCTCGGGGGCCGAATCATCATCGCTCTCGTCGGAATCCGAAGATATTTCAGATCCGCTTGATGATGTCCAGTCGGTGCTGTCTGACTCACCGGAAGATGATGCGGGGGATTCCTCGTTTCGACTCTCTCTTGAGTCACCGGGTTCCGTCTTTGTTACCATTGTCCCAGAGGCCACGGATGTTACAGAACTTTCGTCAGGGACAGCCACAGTCTCCGAGTCGTTGTCCTTGGAGTTGGCTATCTGCACTTTTTGAGCAGATTCTGTGTCCGCTTTTTCTGCAGCGACGGAAGCTTGAGACTCAGTTTTCTGCGTGGCGGACTCTGACCCTCTTCGCGCCTCCATGGCCACCTTTTGCAGCTTTTCAACTTTGAGCCGAGCCCGCTCGGCATCCGCCTCCGCTTTCGCTACTCGTTCCTGCTCCTTCAGCAGCTTGCGTTGAAGCTTGTCAGCTTTTCGTTTCGCCTTGGCAGCTGCATCCGCCGGATCAATGACGCTCTCTGGCTTATCATTGGCGACCTTCTGGGCTTGTCTTTGCTCCTGCCTCTCAATCTTTTTCTTGTTCAGAGCTTCTTCACGGGCTTTCTTAGCCTCGTCCATGGCCTTTTTCTTCTCTTCAACTTTTGCTTGCGTCGGAAATCGTTTCTTCCGTTCCTCAATCCATGCGGCAATGTCTGTGGGTGACTGAAGAGTAGACGTCCGTCCTTTATAGGTGAATCGCAACGGCGCTGTAGCACCAGCAGCAGCAGGCGCCAACTTCGATTCTTCATCCACGTCGTCGTCCTCCTCACTCGATTCATGATCCTCGGTTTTGGGCGTCAGCCCTAACTGGTTGTGTTTTCGTTTCTTTTTTCTCGTGTTTAGTGCAGTATCAACTGCCGGGGGAGGTTTTACAGGCAGAGGGTTACCAAAGCTTGGGACGGGAGGCGGTGCAGGAACGCGAGGTGCAACTGCTTGCGGTTTTCCTCCAAATGCCGACGCATGATCCCGCTTTCCGCCATATTTCATTGAGTTCCCACCAAAGGATTGGTTCTGGTGTGTGCTAGATTGCCGCGGCGCCCATTGATTGCTACGCCGAGGACTAGCAAATGTGCCTGTAGGTGGTGACGTCTCAAATCCCCAACGCATTGGAGGACTCATCATCGGTGCTTGTACGGGTTGAGGGATATGTTGAGTTGAATGCACGACTGAAGGGTATAGAGGACCCGATTGCGCATTTGGTGGGGCGTAAGAGGCATCATAGCCAGATTGTGGCTGATATGGAGGACCGACAACGGCTGGCGGCTGCGAAAAGTGTTGCGGGGAAGCATACGAGGATGTACTGGACTGGTGTTGGAAACCTGGGGACCCTAAAGACGCAATCTGGGGCGACGGAATATTGTGAGAGACAGTAGGCTGAGGTTGAGGCGTAAACCCGGTATAGTTTATCGACCCATAACCGAAAGAAGACGGCGTAGTAGAGGAATAGGTCGGGGTATGGTTGGCATGGTGGGGAACAAAGGAGCCTCCCCGACCTCCTCGATTCCCAAACCCTCTGCCACGACCTCTGTTGTGCCCTCCAGCGCCTCGTCCGCCTCGCTGACCATAAGAACCGTAACCATACTGTGGAGGCACGGACGGAAAAGCTGACGGAGGTTGCTGCTGTTGCTGAGAAGAAGGAGGGGGAGGAGGAGGAGGAGGAAATGAGAATCCCTGGGAGCTCATTGCGGGAAGATCTCTGCAGGCCCTCGAATGAGTGACAGCATCGATGCCATCCTCTCACGCCATCCCGGAGACCTGAGAAAACCTCCGATCACTTCTGGTCGCTTCTTTAGGACCGAAGCTCCAAAGTTGTTGTTCCGTTCCGAGATCCGAATTGTCACTGTAAAGCCCGAGTAAGAAACAGTGGAGAAGTCACGTGCTGGATTCTGGCCATCAAACACATGAGGAAAAATTTAAGAGAAACCAGGCCGGATCCGCAACCTGCGATTGGTCGAGGCGATTCGCGATTGATCTTTTGAACTTCTCATGTTGCAGATTCATATACACTTTTATAATGTCATGAATCTGTGATTACTGGAAACATAATTTAGAAGGGCCGTTACAGCGTCCTACATGGTTAGAATGCAAGTTTTGTCTTGCCGCTAATTCTCTCTGCGACTGTGTGGAATTAGAATCTACTACTACCTATTCTGATCAGTGCCTCATGCGATACGTCGTTTCCCTGTAACATATTCGAAATGTTCATTCTTGTCAGTTGAGACGTCCTTGATCAATTTTAATTTATCTTGTCATGAACAGACAAGCTGACTGCAGCGAGGCAGACAACCGTCTCAGATCTCATCCAGATCTCTCCTGAAGACTTCTCCAAGTACAGCGCTGTCGCAATCGAGGACAATATCAACGAAAAGTATGCAAATAAAGTACGACGATGTCACCCTGAACGAGGTGGCAGTCGCCCTGACTGACATGGTTCACTTGTGCAGGTCATTCAAAAAATTGGCCTTTGCATCGGATTCTATGACTTGTTAGAATCGTCGGATGGTTTAATAGGCCATGGCACTGGTTTGGTCAATGTAAACGGTATGTCTGGAAGGATTTCCCAGCTGGAGATAACCGCTTTACTTATTCTCCATAGTGAAATTCCGGCTCATCGTCTTCCGGCCGTTCAAAGGAGAAATCCTACTAGGCAAGATCTCCAGTGCTACTCAACAAGGAATTAAGAGTATGCAACTGCTTCAAGCTCGCGGTCACTATACTCACGCTAATACAAAAAGCAGTTGGTGTGGAATTTTTCAATGACATTCTCATTCCCCCGGATCTTCTGTTGGACGGTGCTCGATTGTAAGTAACCGTCTTTCTCCAGACTGTGGGAAGTACATGTTGGCTCACCAGGAAACAGTGACATTGCCGATCAGGTGTGGGTTTGGGAGAATGAAGATGGCTCAACATTCTACTTCGACATAGGAGAAATTGTCCGTTTCAGAGTTGAGATGGAGGAATGGCATGATCAGATTCCCAATGCCCCAGATCTAGGAGACGGCGCAACCATTGAAAGAAAGCCTCCCTACTCCATCATAGTATGTGCCTTTACGTTTTGATTTCTGGTGAACTCTAGTTGGCTAATTGAAAAACTCAGGGCTCGATGCAAATGGCGGGTTTGGGACCCGTGTCATGGTGGTGATGGGAAAGTTATTAGTGGAGGGTACTCCCATGTCTTTTTATGTTGTCTTTATGTACACGCCGGATGATACAACGGGCTAGAATTGGGGTTGATAAGTGATTCCCATCATTGGCGTTGCTAGAATAGAGGACACGACAGCACTGAACGTATTGCCTATTGCATGATGAACCTGAGATGATAGTCAAGAGATGATTACAAAAGTTCGGAAATGACGTGATCTGGATCCAGATAAAATTGTACTACTCTGTATGTAGTGTAAAGTTGTAGTATAAATCACCTTATTAGAATGTACCTATCACAGTAGGTTCCAGCTTACCATCTCTGCCCATTTGTCATCACAGGGTATACTACGTTAATTAACTTACTATTTGTAGAATGTGATGATGATCATTCAGACCGAAGGTTAGAGATACCTAATCTCTGTAGGCACGAAACGTCACTGCATGCATCTGCCTGTCAGCCAGCAACATACATACCCAATAATCTATCTAGCCTAGATAATACCTGCAAGATCCACGTTGTGCCGGATCTGATTATCAATTGAATCTACATGTTCGGTTAGTGCCGGGAACGTCTGGTTCAGATGGAGACAAGTTCCGCCCTGTAGTTTTGTAGTGCAACGTAAAAGAAATCCAAAGAGAGTTTGATGGGAAAGAAAAAATCGGAGTCCGAAGGGCAAGAAAAGTAATACTACTAGTAATAATCAATAATTCTTGATGTGTCTGTGTTTCTCCGTCGCACATTCCAGTCTAATATTTGTTGTCTGTTATTATTAATCGTCAATTGCTGACTCTTATAAACACGAGGACACCGGACCAGCGCCTTATTGGATTTTTTTTTTTTTGGAGTGATCTCATACAGCTGTCTCTTGACTGTTTCTTTCAGTATCTGATAACTGGACAAGTAAATCCGTTATCGATAAATCTCATCCATCTATATTCTTTTTCTCAAACCCCCTCTTTTCTCGCCCTGATTGTACGAACCCTCAAATCGTCTTCAACGTCGACCGTTCACAATGACTGCATCTTCCAACGGCTACTCTCAGAATGGCGCAGGTGCACAGGAACGCCGCTTTGGCACGTTAGCTGTCCACGCTGGATCGCCTCATGATCCCACCACTGGCGCCGTCATTGCTCCTGTGAGTCCAAATGAATTGCGTTGCATCCATCGTTAGCTATGGAGAATGATAAGAGCTAATCATTAACATAGATTTCACTCTCCACAACGTTTGCGCAAACCAGCGTCGGTAACCCCGTAGGTCTCTATGAATACACCAGAAGCTCAAACCCAAACCGGTAGGTGACTGCCCCGACACAATTGAGACGATCATGCGAATGAATTGGCACTAAAGTTTCTTAGTGATAACTTCGAGCAAGCTGTTGCGGCCCTCGAACACGCAAAATATGCACTGGCCTTCTCATCCGGTTCGGCGACCACAGCTACCATCCTCCAGTCCCTAGCTGCAGGCTCTCACGTCGTCTCGGTGTCCGATGTATATGGTGGAACCCACAGATACTTTACAAAGGTCGCCTCGGCTCACGGTGTTCATGTAACATTCTCGCCTTGCATTGAAGTTGACGTGGAGGCATTGATCCGACCCGACGAGACCAAGCTGGTCTGGATTGAAACCCCGTCTAACCCCACACTTGGCTTGGTCGACATTCGCAACGTAGCAGCCGTTGCTCACCGGCATGGAATCATTGTGGTGGTTGACAACACCTTCATGAGTCCCTATGTCCAGAATCCCTTGGACCACGGAGCCGATATCGTCGTGCACTCGGTCACTAAGTACATCAACGGTCATTCAGTAAGTTGTGACCCATTGTCTACGGGTAAGGCAGTTTACTGACCAAATATAGGATGTTCTCATGGGCGTCGCAGCCTTCAACTCTGACAGTCTGAAGGATCGTCTCACATTCCTGCAGAATGCCATTGGGGCCGTTCCATCTCCTTTCGATTGCTGGCTCGCTCACCGTGGCCTCAAGACCCTTCATCTGCGCGCCCGTGAGGCGACGAATAACGCTACAATCGTCGCCAAGGCTCTCGAGTCGTCCCCTCATGTCATCTCTGTCAACTACCCGGGACTTGATTCGCATCCCCATCGCGCCATCGCTATTAAGCAACACCGCCAGGGAATGGGCGGTGGTATGCTGAGCTTCCGTATCAAGGGAGGCCAGAAGGCGGCTCATCTTTTCTGCCAATACACCAAGGTCTTTACCCTTGCTGAGAGTTTGGGCGGCGTGGAGAGTCTTTGCGAAGTCCCTTCGAGCATGACACACGCCGGCATTCCTAAGGATCAGCGTGAGGCCGCTGGTGTCTTTGATGACCTCGTCCGCATGAGCTGCGGTGTTGAGGATGCAGAGGATCTCAAGGCCGACACGCTCCAGGCTCTTGAGAAGGCTGTTCTCGCTAGCCAGCAGATGGAGAACGGATCTGCTTAAATTTCTTTTTTTTTTTTTTTTTTTTTTTTCTGTTATTGCGAGTGAATCAAGATATAGACGACATTATAACGCTGAAATGATAGATTTTGCAACATACGAAGACAACCGTCTGTTAATGAAATTTCGATTTGGGGGCTGGGCCTAGACAGTCCAGCTTCCACGCGAGAATTAGCACAGATATTGCATTTGGATAGATAAGTTATAATAGACTACCATACTACAGGTTTACTTACGCGTTCAAGATTGTCATGAATCGCGATGGTCATCTAGTAATCAAGTGTAGCATGTTAGGCGTGCTTAGTCATCAATATCTTTCAGCAAATTTTTGGATCTTGTCTTCAGGAACTAGATGTCGACGCTGTCACTCTTCAATTTCCACGAATCAAAGGCAGTCATCTTTATTTTCAGAATTGTCCACTGGAGACAAATACATCTGCTATATTCAAAATCCATGAAAGTGTTGTCATATTGTGCTCAGCTTCTCCGAGAAAAGCACTCGGATAAAGTTTGTTCAAGGTTAATCGAGCCTTTGCTTAGAAGAAAAGAAATAATTCTATAAGTGCGCAATGACATCGGCGTTCAGCTTCGGTTTCTCTGGAGATGACATCGACATTGATGAGAACGATCTCAACGGTGGTGATGAGAGAGATATGAATGCTGGGGAGCATGCCAGCAACCAGATCACTGGAAGATTAATGGAACCTCAGAAACACGATATGGGAGAATGGGTAAGTTCTGTGTGTCACTCATTCTGTTAGATTCCTTCCTAGGTAGTCGGGTAGCTACAGACGGGTCGTGCTTGAAGGCGACGGATTTGATGTAGAGGGAGAGAGGAGTAGAGGACGGCGGAGGACTATTCTTGATCGGTCATATGTGCTCAATCTAACCATCTTCTAGATCACTACATTGCCATCACAAATATCATACAACAAGCTCGTAATAAATGCATCTCATGGAGACGAGGAGACGTTCTCCCTTGCACGTCGAGAAGTCTTCGACATTCGGACTCAGCTTATGGCCGAAGACAGTGCAGACCATGAGAATGAGGAACTTATCTCAGGGCTAGAGAAGGGGGATATCAAGCCCAATTTCTACGAAGGTGGCTTCAAGACATGGGAGTGTGCGTTGGATCTTGCCAAATTGGTTGCTAGTGAAGATCTGTCTCATCAAGATGCGGACCAGCACATTATCGAGGTCCGTAGTTCGCCCACCTAATCCTACTTCTGTATGCAATTCTTGCTCGAATGGGCGCTGACGAGGAAAAGTAGCTTGGGGCTGGGACTGCGGTACCGTCACTGACTCTCTTCGGGCAAGCACTGTGTCGACCGGACTCAGCGACGAACAAGATCCATTTCACATTCGCAGATTACAATTCTGCTGTCCTTCGCCTAGTCACGTTTCCGAATCTGCTTTTGACTTGGAACTACATAGTCACGCATAGGGATCCGCCCTCGAGGGAGGCAACTTCGGCTGGGGACCAGCCTGATGAAGAGGAACTCGACATCACGCCTGAGCTCCTGGAGAGCTTTCAGCAAGATCTTGCAAGGAGGAGGATCACCTTTGAGTTCATTTCCGGTGCCTGGTCCCCTGCCTTTGTGGACTTGGTATTCTCCAGTTACGGCCAGGGCAAAGGGCAAACATTGATTCTTGCGAGTGAGACGATATACTCTCCGGCATCTCTAGCGCCCTTCTCAGAGACCTTGATTGCCTTGCTCCGCCGGTCTGAAACCGAACAAGCGCGGAGCAGAGCCCTTATAGCAGCGAAAAAGGTCTATTTCGGTGTGGGAGGTGGAGTAGACGAGTTTTTGACGGTGCTGAAAAACCTCAATGGCAATGGCCTGGATGTGGAGGAGCAGGTGAATATCAACTCGGAAGGGGTCGGTCGAGTGATATTAAGGATTGCGCTCAGGAGTACCTGATCACTACGTTGAGAGTGATGCATATATATCAGCATGAACATAAGAACTACCTGACAATTTCGACCGGCTTTTCCCATCGTAAACGGCGGTAAAACGAGACTGGTCGATGAAACAGCAAAAGGAACCGTTGACGGGTCTACCATAAATGAATCTGTAATATGTACAACATGCCCCCGAGTCATGCCTACCACTGACATTGCTTTGAAACGATCTTGAAGTAAGAGTCAATTTTGTCTAGTCATATAGAGACACAACCTTGCCGTCCTTCATCCGAGCGACGCGGGCCTCTTCCATCTGCTTGTTCTGCTGCTCGTAATGAGCAACAACAGCACTCAGGTCCACGGACGAACCAGCAGGGACATTGTAAGGAGGAGAGGTATTGAAGCTGACTCTAGAAAATGCAGAAATCCACACGTTAGCTAGTGCTGTGGGCGGGAAATCGGGAACTCATATGAGCGTACTCGGGCTGCTTTAATTCGAAAGTGGCTCTAGGACCTTGAGACTGAAGGAGGTGGCGATCCTGAGCGGCCTTCTCCATAAGTGCTGTGTGAATGGCGTTCCTCTCCTCAAACAACTTCTCCGAAGGAGTCCACTTGTGGATGAGGTTGGAAATCCACGATTGCGAGCCCGATTCCTCAGTGGACTTGCTCAGGCGGTAAAGAACGTAGGCGGAGGCAAATGCACCGATGGTAACGTAGAAGCTGCGCTGTAGAGATCAAAGAGTTGCAGTCAGAGATGAGGACGATTTCTGTCGGGGGGGAGATCAAACGTACGCCGAAGCTCTCGTTCACAGGCTCGGCATGGGCGGTATGAGAGGCAAAGCGACGGGGCTGCTGATTGCGCACCAGCTGCCGCGCCGAAGCGACTGATTGTCTGGCGAAAGACATGTTGTGGAGAAAGACAATTGGCAATACCGATTAATGACGATGATGCCGTCGGCGGGTGATTTGAGGTTGAAAGCCGCGCGAGGGCGGTTCGCCAGACGTCACATGACTCTACCTTCTTAGCTTAGCGCAACCTACGAAGTCTCCTGTGCCTACTACTCAGAACTCGATGATCCGAAACGAGATCTTCAATGTCTACTAGGCGAATACTGAAGACGGAAGAGTATGCGAATACTATTCGTTCGCCATGAGTTTGAACGGATATAATTTAACGATCTTTCACTCAAGTAATGGTCCAAGGAAGGTCCCACTGTCGATTCTCAATTACCTCGAAAGAATATAATAGTAGGCAATCTCTTAGAGTGGAGTCAAAATAGTTTACAGTGTCGCTGTCATTGAAGAATTGGTCACAGGAACGTTAAGACGGGCCCCGTCTTTCAATATCTGTCGCTATCTGGATGGATGGACACTGGAGCCTGTCAAAGTTCAATCATCGCACGAACAAGAGGCATGCAGAAGTCATTGGAAGAAGCTCACTGCCTGAGGTCATATCCATCGACCTCCTCGGTTGCTTCATTGGCCTCTATGATAAGATGTTGGAAAATGCACCTCGCCTAGACTCGCAACAGCTCGGAGAATCGAGAGTTTCTCTTCTGGCCAAGGCTATTCTTGCATTCTTGCTCTTGCTCTTCCTCCTCTTAAATAGCCTTACATATTATAAATGACTCCATCTGTGCATCAACCTGGTCCTTTAGCTCAGTCGGTTAGAGCGTGGTGCTAATAACGCCAAGGTCGCGAGTTCGACCCTCGTAGGGACCATTTTTTACATTTTTTATCATTTTTTTTGACGCATTTCTGTACGGTCATCTTAAGCACTCGGACTGCATTCATTCAAGTGATCTCAATCTAGATCGCATAGTCGGTATTAACGGGAAGTTTGGCCTCTTCGCGATACTTAGCCATGATACTTCGCTTACTAGTCTCCAGGCTCTTGTTCTGCTGTATCTCTCATGACGCTGGTCCGATGCCCTAATCTTGGGCCCTAAAGCTAAACCTCTCTGGCATGAAATGAGTGTCTATGTAGTCTGTGGTCATCAGCAATATTTCCAGAGTACTTGGACATTAATTGTCGGAGGACGTTCGTAAAAGAGACCAACTACAACTCATAACTCCTCATCCCCAACAACTTATCTTCGTCGCTCGAATCAACGGTCATATGAGCCCAGCCACCTCGACCGCCTGAATATGCTTACGGCCGTCCAAAAAAGAAAAAAAAAAGCGGATTACTATCTCACACGCTGCCACGCACCAACACATGCTGCAGTGAACTAATTTATTCGGGCTATGCTTCGGGACCATTCTAGCTCCAATGTTACCAACCTATCACCCTGGCTCCTGCTCCATACACATCAAAAAGGCGGGTCTCTGCGCTGTCGCATTCAGAATGGCTGCTCTGCAATACACACCGCACTACAGGCGGTACTGCTAAACTAGACTACTGGGTTGTCAGTGATTCGCTTTGAGATACTAACCAAGTAACTAACTGCCTCACATTCAAACTGGCGCTCCCCACTGCTCCCATTGGGCCCGTTGTTATTGGGCTCTTCCCTGTTGCCAATAAGATAGGCTTCAAAACGTCTGGATATCAAAGGGGACATGTCATCGATCTCCATCCTCCAGTTGTCTCTAGCGTGGAAACCCCACATCCCATTCCCTGCCTCTTGGTCTCTCGAGCACAGGCAGCTACTTGCAGGACACGCCTGCCTGCAGTTTCACCATGGGAAAAATGATGCGCTCGAGAACAAAATCCAACCGATCGGGTGTCGCGTGTGAGCTTTGACAGTTTGTTTTTCCCTCAATCGGTTCAGATTGCAGCGTTCCGAGGTGCCGTTCTAGGCCATGATTGATCCTACCACCCCGGAAGATGCAGTTTCATTTTGATGCCCAACCCATTTTACTTCGCCATGATCGTTTGGTCATGCAGGTAGGGAACCGACGGCTTCGGACCCATTCTTTACAATTACCGCTTTAGCACCCAAAACCGCGGTCTTAAGATCGCCTAACTACCAGTACTATGGTGTGACTCGGACGACCCAGGGATACTGATTGGTATTGGACTAAGGTTCGGTCCGCTTTCTGCCTCGTCCAACCTCTCTGGATCCTTCTCGTTTGTAACAGCGTCGTTTTGGGCTTGATTCCAGACAGGGTTATTAGCTGGCTTGTTCTGCTCTCTGACTTCTTTCCTCATTGATATCTTGTCCCACGCATTTCACTTGCTCCAAACACAGCGCAGTAGGCGTCAGGCTTGGTTTCCAAAATAGTCTGCTTGCTTGCGGACCAGACTCCTGACACCGTGTGCTACTGTCTTCGAGTGGCCCAACTATTTGTGCCCACCGCTGCCTTTACTGCGCCTAGGAATTCATCTCTTTTTCCCCCGAATGCATGCTTATTTTTACATCACTTCCATAATCGCCTGATCGCTGATCACTGGCCTTCCTCCTCCTGATTGATCAACTCCAACCTATAGCTTTCTGTATCCATATCAAGTCAGTGTATATCTTAAGACCCCGCCGAGCGCGCTTGCAAATGTACAGTCCTGAAGCAGCAGCAATCCCAATCGAGTATCTGCTGACACACTTGTCGTTACTACATCAGAAATCAAGCTACTGGGGACACGTCTTCTCTTACAGTTAGCACTCTGCCACGCCTCACTCTACCACAATGGCAGGGTCAGGCAAGAAGAGCAAAGCCAAAGTCGGGGGCAAGCAAAAGAATAAGAAGGGGAAGAACCAAGAAGCGTCTGAGAACCCAACTGAGACCCCTTCCGCCGAGCAGCAAGACCAACAGCCGCAGCCGGAGGTCGACATCGAACCTCCTTTGGATCAAGAAAATCAACAACTCCAAGCAGAGGTCGAACCTGTACCTCAACTAGCCGAAAGTCACGGATTTGACACAGACCTTCCTTTGCAATCCCTCCCGGAACCTGCCCCAGAACACGGACAGGCCCCGGAACGAATACCAGAACTGGAGCACCCTCAACCTGTTGCAGTGACAGCGTCGGCTGTGACTGAAAATTGGGAAGTCCCCCAATCATCGACGAAATTGGACCAAGAGGGTTCCTCGAGTCAGCCGCAGACATTGAACGATGTGCAGAACATCTTCGAAGCTACTCACGAATCCATTCTGGAGGAATTAGCGGCACCCGACCCTCTGACAGAGGCTGTTGAGACGAAACCTGAGTCAAACCATGGTCTAAGTGGCCAGAGTGACGTTGTCGAGCCCCCAGAGCCGACCCCAGTCACGGCACCTCAGACCCCCATGTTTCCACAAGAAGCAGCAGCTTGCTCATTTCCGTTACCATCGCCGTCTCTGACAGAGACCGAGTACATAGCGGCGTCTCCTCGCTCGAATGCCGCTTCACCGACGCCCAATCCGTCCTCAGAAGCCGAAGCCGAAGCGGAAGTCGATCCCCCTAATCCCCAACAAGAGATTACTCCACCTGCGGACCAAGTCATATTTTCAGCACCGGACCCTGCTCCGTCCTCGCGACCGCTGTCTCCTGCACTTGTAGCAGCATCTACCGGAACCCAGGCGACTTCGTCTGTTTTCCGGACTGCCTCTCCTGCCTCAGAGGGGGCATCCGCTGTTTTACATAGAGCATCTCCTGTAAATCAACCTGCCTCTCCAGCGTTTCATACAGCATCGCCTGCATCCAAGCCATCTTCGCCCACTCCACAATCTGCGTCTTCTTACTACAGAGGCGCCTCGCCCGTCATGGCGAAGCCAGCGTCTCCCGCCCAGAAATATGCTTCGAAACCCGCCTCTCCCGTTGCAAAGGTCAGCAGTCCGCTTACTCGTCCTTACATGTCTCCAGCGATTTCGCCACATGCTACGCCGTTCGGACCTCCGCCTCCAGCTCCCAGCGTACCTCACTCAATCGCTCCAAGCTATGCCACTGCTTATCAATCACCTGCGATGAGTTCTGCTAGTTACCTGCCTCCTTATGCTCCTTACTACCATCACCCTTCTCCAAATATGCGTCCCACTCCTCGCGGCTCAATAGATCCTCATTATGCGTCGGCCTTCCAAGCCCTCCGGGATATGGGGTTGCCAAATGGGCACGGTGTGAATGATAGGGGAACCATTTCGCCACCTCAGGAGCACGACGAGCCCGGTGAACTTCTGCAAAGAATTCAAGAGGCTATCCCGGACATCAACCGCTTGCTCGATGGGTACAAGAACACAAAAAGCAAGCTTGTATCTCGGGAGGCTGAATTTAAACAGATGGAAAGTCAGCATGAACAGGCATTGATGCACAAGGATTTCTACATCGAAGCGCTGCAGAATCAGATGAGAAAGGCAGCGAACGAGAGTGCGGAAGAGGCAACGAAATTGAAGAACACCATAAATGAACTCAGAATGGAACTAGGCAACCTCGAGGAGAAGAGAAAGGACATTGAAGAGAGCCTAGCGGAGTCGGAAAAGTCCAATCAGGATCTCTTGCAAACGAAGTCTGAACTGGAAGGGCAGATCGCCGCTCTGAACACAAACATCAAAGAAGCGCAGGAGGCGCACGAGCAAGAATTGGAACGTCAGAAGGAGGAGAGAGCGGAAGCTCTTGCGAATCAGAAGCAAGAGTTGACTGAACTATTTGAGGAAATCAAGGCCGAAGACGAAAAAGCGGCCGCGGAAGCTTTGGAAGCTCGGGAGAAAGAATTACTCGACCAGCAAGACGCGATGAAGGCAGAATACGAGAGGGAGAAACAACAACTACAGCAATTGCACGATGCCCTGCAGTCCGAATTCGACTCTAAAGTGACTGAATTGGGATTAAAGGAAGCTGAACTGGCCTCCACGAAGGGGGAGCTTGACTCCAAAGTCACGGCATTGGAGTCGACCAAGACCGAGCTTGATGCCAAGGTTACCGAGTTGGAGTCGACGCAGTCTGAGCTAAACTCCACAAAGGACGCACTCGATGAGAAACAGAAGGAGCTGGATCAAAA